TAAGCTGATAAACAAAGTAATACAAGTAGAGATCTATTACTTACGGATCAAGTGCTAGCCAATCTTCAAGTACCTTAACTTTTTGCTTATCAACGGGCTCAAAAAGATTGTATCCTTTTCCTTTTGGAGTGATAACTTTTAATTTTTTTTGTCCTATGAAAGGAGTAACCTATGATGGAGCAGGCTTCTTTAGCTTTTCACTCTTTGCCCTTGCCAAATTCATGGCCGCTTTTTTCTGTTGATTTTGTTTCGCTATTTTGGAGGAAATATAATATGCTCGTGGTTCTACTCTTCCAATAATCATAACACTTGAACTTCATCACGTTCCACATTAACAAATTTACTCTGCATATAGGAATATAAAGTAAACAACTTAGAAACTGAACACTATTAAAGTCAAAGTAATGAAATAACAAAAAGTTGTAAATTTCTTTCTAACAAAATATAGAAGCAAGGTTTAAACAACTTAAGACAATTTGTAAACTAAATAACGAGGTTCAAACAATTTAAGGTTCACACAACATGAAACAAATGATACTACTACTTCTTGACAGCTTCTTTTTTCACACGAATCCTTTCGCTTGTTCTTTTGTTTGCAAGAATTGTTTTGGGTTTAGATTTTATACTAACCCCAACATCAGAAATCCCATGGTGCATGTTGTTCTGATAAATCATCATTCTCGCCTTTTTCCGCAGCAATAGTTGGTGAAGCAGCGTTGGATTTCACCTTCTTATTCAATTGCTCTTCCCCTTTCTCTCCATCTTCCACTGCCAATTTCTCTGCACCTTTCACTTTAGACTTCTCCATAGCTACCACCTTATTACTAAGGCCACCAATCTTCTTTTCAAACCTACTAAAACCATCATCTATCTTTCTTGACAAGCCTGTAATTCAATTATCAATGTGTGATTGAAGTTCTCGTATCATTGACACCGGATCGTCTTCACCACTACGAGACCTCTTCCGGCTTTGTCCGTCTGTGTGAAAGCTGAGAGTTTCAAACTTCCCATACCCTGTTTCAGACTTCACATTTCCTGGTTCAGACTTCACATAACTTGTTTCAGACTTCACATTGTTAGAGACTAACCAAATATCAGAAAAATCAAAGACTACGACTTCTTTTGTTATACTCATTACTTGATTCTTCTTTGACACACTTGTAGAACTTAACACCAACAACTGGCCAGTGACTAATTTGCCAGTTCCAGCCTTTATCAAATGCTACATTGAGAATGTTCTCAACCTTTGCATCTGCTACATCACCATCCCAGAAAGGGAGCATCTCAACCATAGCATTCTTCATAACAAAGCTCTTTATATTGGTCTACAAAATAAAAAAAAAATGAATAGTTAATTAGACAATAATAAGAAAATAGGACATAAATTTAAGAACTAGAGATAGTTATCAAAATATTTGTTTCAGCATATTTTTTTCAGATCTTTCCGGCCTCTAGATCCTTTGAAAGCAAGCAATAGTGGAGTTAGTGGATTTGGTACAGGGTCACCAAATTCTTTTGCAAAATCCGGTAGAGCCCAATACACCCAAACTTGAAGAACTTATACAAACCCCTCAATCACATAAGACAACTTCGTCAAGTCTTTATCCTTAACAGACTGTAACAAATTCTTGAAAGCCACTCGTCCCCACGGGTAGTTCACAAAATCATCTAAATCCATAATTAATCTAGCAATCTTAACCGGGATGGGTATTGAATTTCTCCGACCTTCAATATAACCAGCATAGATGCAAAGATATCCTAACCTCATGCGATCGACCCGAGACCATGATTGGCATGCAACACAAGCTGCAACTAAATCATTAATACATGGACCCATCTCCAAATCCACTCTTAGAAGCTCCGAGAATGCTTTCATCTCATCGGTAACCTCCATTTCCGGAGTTTCCAGATTCGCTCTATACT